GTCTCGGGAGGAGTTTTACGATAATTTGCCGATTTGGAGGCAAACACAACTCAAGCAAAAGGCAAACCTCTTCTGAAGCGGTGGTCCATCCGTGTCCTCACCATTCATTCGCTTCTCATTCCCGAAGTCGAGTGATCGATGACTTTCTGAACGCATAAAACAAACGCAAAATGACGTGAAGAATACCACAAAACGAATAGACGTTTTCGAGCTGTGATTTCCAAAACTATAACAAATCTCTGCCTTATTTTGTACTATAAGTTTCAATCGTAACTATATTTTTCAGACTTGCGCTCAATTAACAGGTTTTTTAAAATCATTTTTCAAATTCAACACAAATTAATATAATATATTACAAGTATTACTAATATATTATGACATTTAACTGCATTTAATTGTAAGATAAGAAATAATTTGTTTTTTAGAGAGTATTAAATAATTTATTAAATGAATGAATGATTAAAACAATAATTAAATTATTTTTGAATCACAAAAACAATGAAAATAATGATTTATTGCGGATAACCATAGGGACGCTGACCATAAGGGTTGTGGTTGGTGTAGGGGTTGATGGGCGGCCCCCACGCGGGCGCCTGTGGTTGTCTGTATGTATTATAAGTGTTGGTAGCGTTGGAAACGGGTGGCCACTGGAGGTTGTGGTGTCCATAAGGGGACTGTTGGGAGACGAACGACGAGACGGGCTGTTGGGGTGACATAAGGAGCGACGAGGGCGGTGTGTGTGCACTCATACTACTGGCGCTCACCTCGTCCTGAATGGGAACTGTTATGAGATTACTATTGCGCGACGAGACCACAGGTATTGGGCTCTGAAATGAGCCGCTATTATAGGGCACGACCCGCGAGCTGGAGGTGACGGCTCCGGCAGCCGACGCCGTCATATCTTTGACGGGTATAGAGCTCTGGAGGGGTATCACCACATTAGACACGTTCGACGCGTTCAGAGCACTGACGGCCGCAGTGGCCGGGCGTCGGATATGCCTGTGCTGGATGTGCGCCTGGAGGTCGCGTTGGCTGAGGTATGTCCGCTTACAGGAGTCCGTTTGGCACATGAATACAGTTCCCAAACCGGACTTCTCCACTCTGACCACTTTGTCGCCACATCGGGGGCACTGAGTCTCGTGTTGTTTCGCACAATTCAGACAAAATACATGTTTGCAAGGGATCTGCCGGCGCCCACAACAGCACATGTATTCAATACAAATCAAACACATGATAAGTCCGATTGCGTACAGAATCAGACATGGGACTGACTTTTGGGCACACTTGGGCACACCGGGCACACTGAAAGCGAGAGCTTATAATTTTTAATATTATTATAAAATATTAATTTTTTTATAGAGACACTATGTTATACTATCGTTTAAACTAATAATAATTTAATAATTATAGTTTAAATCATATTTAAATAGCTCTCTCACTTTAGTAATTTACCATTATATTCTCAATATGCCTATCAAAGTGAGAGAGCTATTTAAATATGATTTAAACTATAATTATTAAATTATTATTAGTTTAAACGATAGTATAACATAGTGTCTCTATAAAAAATTAATATTTTATAATAATATTAAAAATTATAAGCTCTCGCTTTCAGTGTGCCCGGTGTGCCCAAGTGTGCCCAACGGTGTGTCCAAGTGTGCCCAAAAGTCAGTTCCATCAGACACTAGAAAGAGATAGCAATGAATGAAAACAATACAAACCATTCTTCCGTAGACCAGAATCGGAAGCAGACATTTGTCGCAGCAATGGATCCGCGGGTTAACCACTTTCTCTCCGATCAGATTAACCTTATATTTCCAGTTCAGCGCTTCGTTTCTGTGCAACGGCTGAGCGCCCGGACTCACGAACGATGCGATGGCGTGAGTGGTCAACGACTCGGTGTCCAGATTCTCGTCAACTGTTGCGGTCATCGGTTCCCAAGAAGAAGACAAACAAATTACACACCAATTCATAACAAGTCTTACGACTAGACGTCAAACAAGTGATACACTCAAGACATACACTCAATGGTCTCAGACTTGATCCGCGAGTGACTGTCGACCGACTGATGGCCAGTGATATCAGCGGCGATGTCGTCGCTCTTGTCGTCAATCGTCTGCTTTTTGCTGCTCTTCTCCGGTCTCTTCTTTGCGGTCGTCTTCTTAGGGGGTCTTCCAGGGGGTCGACCCCTTCCCCGCCCTCTGCCCCTCGCGGGCCTCCCCTTCGGTGGTGGGCTGTTGTCGTCGGAGGAATCCATTTGAAGATTAGATTTGATTTATAAATCACTTGAAAATCAATTCAAATGTGTTTTGCACTCAAAATATGTGACAAACAAAACAAAACAGCATTTAAACCGACTCTTCATATACACCGTTACGGATATAATAGCCGTACAAACAATTCATGGCAATCGCCCCTCACTTGCGTTACGGTATATGTTAAATGAATTCTTATAAACTTTATTCTGTATTAATGGCATAAATGGTCACAAATATTGTAACAAAATAACTATTTTATAAATGCCCTATCTAATATAATACATTTGTTTGCCGTTTATTTGCTGTGTATAAAGTAGCCCATCCCTCCCGGTGCTGTGTTATTCTCTGTAATACATACAGAATCCTCTACTTATGCGCCAGAATATCAATAGCCTATATACTCAAGGTCTTCATAAATCTCGTCTATTAGGAGATTGTCTATCGATTTGCGATAAGTTTTGAGATAAAAAATCTAATTTCGAGAATAACAGGAAATCAATGCTTATTTTGCCGGTTAATACCACTCTTAAGGTTAACATTGGCTCGGATTTAGTGAATAAAATGAAGTCACAAGAAGTGCGCCAAACATGTATTGATTTTGCCATAAAGTGTGAGTTCAGGCAATAAAAGCTAAACCAATGGCACAGAAACTTCGAGAACTGGTTNTAAACCAATGGCACAGAAACTTCGAGAACTGGTTATAGAAATGCATACAAAGTGTATGTGAATAGAGTTGTAGACGTAATGCAGGAATACATGTAATAGTAAACAGTTATTGCGGTCTTAAAGGCACTGTCAGTCCACTGGACGGCGCCCTCAAAAACGTCCGCCAATTGGCGAATGACTTCATTATCTAATCTATTATAACTTATTTTTGTATCAAAACAAATGCACACAATATAGATATACTATTTTTTATTGAGTCTGTGATATGTTTTTAATCTACTGTACATTAATACACTTTTACTTTAGTGAAACAAAAAATTCCAGACATTTATCAAACTTATATTAGAGCATCGTGTGACATTTGTAATGGAGATTTATATATATTTATTAAAATAAATTACAATATTTTGCTTGCTAATTAATAAAGATGTATTTTCAATAAATATTTTTATAATTTTTATAAATGCTTTACAATACTGTAGTAATACAATGCAAATCAACAAACAAAAAAAACACTTAAAAAGTGGTGTCTATGTTAGGCGTCTATGTTAGGCGCCTGAGTGGCGGCTCATAGGCGTGCGCTAACTGTATGTTTGCAGCCGTTGTGAAAGCCTTCACTACCTTTACGTGTGTTAACAATATCTGGGTTTTCATTGACTGCAGTATTGAATAGAAAACACATTTGAAAACAAATACAAAACTGATTACAAGAAAGCGATTAATTAGTAGTGAATTGAATTAATTTGAATCCAATTCTAACACAAATCGTTTGAATGTAAGTATAAGTGGTTTATTAGAAATGCATGAATCGGTTGACAATGTCTTTGCGGACAATAAATGGTTTGCCATTTGATGGCAACCGTTGTATTGACTCAACAATGGATTC